TTGTGACGCGATGCCAGGTGATTTCTTTCTGTCGGGGCGTTTGCGTAGATCGGCTCGTGCTGCATAGGCACTACAAAGGTAATAAATTTTGTGGTCGGTATTCTGGATGGAGACGTTTATCCGCCCCCTCCCGTAACGCGGGAAACTCCGAGAATAGGCTTGAAAGGCTTTCTCGGTAAATAATTTCATAACAAACTTGCGATGCCTCTATAATTAAACATCGATATCGAATGTGTTAAATAACATAAACTCGCTGTAGCATAAGATGATTCTTCGATGCAAGAGATAATTACGTTATCCGCACTTATCGATACGGCTTCATAACTTTGTCCCGTCTGCGCCGATACATTGCGGTGTGTGCAGCGATATGTCAAACGCATCGCTCGACTCTCGTTAATTCATTTAGTTGGCGGCACAAACAAGTTCTGATATACTGCGCCGGGCAGTTTTGTGGCCTACGACCTGGGTGATTGATCAGGTCGCTCGTTAGACGACGCCGACGATGGGCGCGATCATCCTCCAGCGCGACTCGTCAGGGTCGCGCCGGGATGTGTGTAGTCATGCACGAAATCCGTGTGTCCCGGCTAGAGGCGTCAGGCGGTGTCCAGCTGAGAGTCATCGGCGTCGAGTCGGTAGCCGCGTTTTTCATCGGCGTGTCGGGGCCTATTCAAGTGTTGGCAGTTTTTCACGCGGCGGGCGACAAATATCCCCCACCAAAATCCCCCTTTGGATGAGTCCCCACGTGGTCCGGGATGTCACGCCGGGTCGCATCTTCGCCGGCATTCTACGTGACGATCGCGTTCCGGTGACTAGCGTGCCGCGTGTTATTCACGGAGTGACTTCTCGCATCGCGATCGAGCGGAAGATCGTTTTCGGCGGAAATTGTTTCGGGAGTACGAGAGAGCAGTGTGATTCTGCGTGACAACGCGATTCCGCCGTCGTCGCTTCCGCCGCGCGGAGTGATTTAACTTTCCATTCGTGGTTTGCGAGTCGATAGTGATACCATTAAAATCCGCTGTTTCCGTCGTGTGATTTAATGGCGATGCAAACGGCGATGCGCCGCTTTAACGGCGTTTGAATGATCGGTCGTCGGTTTACGAGAGAGGGGAATCACCGCTTCTCGTCACCGCGGAGATTCGCGTGTTACGTCAGCGTTACGATTAAACGTCGATATCACGACGTTATCCAGGTTAAACCTCGACTCGAAAGCTCCGTGGACTTAATGTACTCCCCGATGCGAATTCTCACTGCCTGCACGAATGAAGCGTATATAGGCTCGGCTCAATCGCGGGCTTTTCCAGAGTCGATCCCGAGTCTTCGACTGCGAGTGTGTGACGCGCTGTGACGACAGTTTTCTCGTTGAATTCCGACGGTGACGTAACGCGGCGGACGCGTCACGTTGGTTTCGAAACTGGAGTGTTCGCGTCGATCGAGACAGAGGCCGTATCTGAACTGAACCGCGCAAAGTGTCATCGACCCGTCGAATGTGTTCTATCGGTTAATATATATCCATCGTAGATTATCGCCGCGGTTACAACGAAAACTGCGAGATTTCGTGGCGGAACGACGTACTTGAATCGTTATTGCGGCTAGTCATAATTTGTACAATGCTTGGACTGAAATGACACGCCGAGGCGGAGACTCGCAGTTATGTCTACGGCTATGATCGTCGGGTGAGTTACGGCGATTTCGCCGACGTCCTTTGAATTCCAATGCAGAATCGATGAGTTGGTGACGAATAGACACCCAAGTATCGTTGCTTTTATCGCTGATCGTAATTCTTTCATCGTCATCGCATTGTGCTAAATCACGTAGGATTTATAAAACTTCGCAAAGCTCTAAAATTCTTTTTAGAAAGAAAATTTCACAAAATTACGTTATTATTTATTAAGCAGTTCTTTCGGAAACAACAACGGGGTGTACATCTTCTTTCAGCAGAAATTTATAGTTACAAATATTTTTTGTATTGGAAAACTCGAGTGCGAAATTCCAGTGTCTTTTTTTAGTCTCAGCTGTTAAGAGATATCAGTGCAAGACGCAAGTAACGAGCATTAACTAGATGCTGCGTCACGAAGTGGTCAGGGTTGCGCGTGACGCGCGCGCAACGATCTTGCGTGTTGGAATTTGTCACGGCAGGATCTCACGACGTCTCGGAATTTCGCGACTCCTCGGAATTCCGTGACGCGGTCAGTATACCACTGACCACGTAGGATTCGGCACGGCGCGTGCATCCACGCGACGGCACGCCAACATCCAGCAGTCTGCGCGCTCCGTGCAATTCGATATCGATTCGCGCGATAGTGGTTTCGCTACTAGCTCTGTGTCTGCGTGTATGTGTGTGTGTGATCGATTCATTATCCAAATTTCTTTAAATTTCGAAGGTAATTAGCAATAACATAGCAGTAGAAATAAAAGTGGCGATTATAGATTGACGTGTAAAATAATTCGCGCGACCAACGTCTACGTTGAAACTCTCTCCGGCGCTTTTCTCATCTAATGATGACACGTTTCACCCATCCGTGAAATGCTTCACGGACATCTCGCTCGGACACTTTTCCTCCTTGCGTAAGACGTCTCGGGAGATCCGAATGTTAATGTATCCCCGTGCTCTCCGACGCACGGCGATTACCTTCGTCACTGGTACAGCGGCGTGTATTATCGCGTCCGAGGTGATCCATGGCCGTTAATGAAACGGCTAGCAAGAGGTTGTCAGCGGGACGTCGATGTGACTAAGTTTGCAATTATGTAAACTGGCATCCCGGCGAGTGGAATACTCGTACACCTTGGTTTAGACGCGGTGGTCTTTGTCGGTGTGAAAATTGAAAAATCGATATTGACGCTGCTGACGTAAATTAGATACTTTGGAATGTAGCACGATACGTTCTATATATGGCTCTTCATGTGATAGAGACAGGAATGTCTGTGAGTTAGCAATATGAATGTGATATACTTATTAGCGTTGTTAATTATATAAATATCATTTAATGATATTATTATCTCTTTTTTAAAGATCGATCAAAAAAATTTTTTAATTATATCTACGATTGTTATTATTTTGAGCGGAAAAGACGATAATTTGCAATCTCGTCAATCGCGATGCGTGATTGCTTATCTGAATTTCGATTGTAATCCTATCTTTCAGATTTTTTTTCAAGAAGCGTTTTACACACGCGCAGAGCTCCCTCAGATTTAATAAAGCATAAATCGTTTCTTTACACATCCGGCAGCAAATGTCGAATCCAGTTGTGTATTTGCATCGAGTCGCCGTGCCGCTGCCGCAGTCGCGCCAGTGCAATTAAACCTCGAAATCCGAGTCGCCTGCGTACCGCGCTCTGCGTTACGATCTGATGTATATCGCGCGGAGAGTGCGATGATAAATGCATGGCAAAGACCTGTGGCGAAATCTGTATCGCGAACTTAGAATGTGCCTTCTGCTCGTAGATTTTCTACGCGTGACAGCGCAGAACGGGATAATTCCTCTGTGAAGATTGCGCTGATACCGCATCCAATTAATTAAATTGCAATATTTAATTGCAATAATCAGAATCCCGTAATACGAGTGCAGAAGCGCCGTAAAAAAAGAAAGTGGAAAACTGAAAATAGCAGCGAAAAAATAAGTTAGGAATGTACCTCGCGGTTCTTCACGAGGGCGCTCATTTAACAGAGGTGAAATAAAATGAATATTTTAAAAGGATCGGAGACGCCCAACATGGCATTCCACGCGGTGTATCGTGCGCATTGAGACGAGGTAGGCGGGATGAGGCGAAAGAAAGGCATGTTTGGTCCACCCGCGGTACCACGGGCAAGCCAATAAGCCAGTCGAATTAAAGCGAACGGGCAACGAAAGCTCTTACCGGCGCGGCCGCTGTTCACCTGTGTTCTGTAACGCGAGATGCATTCGCATTGCGCAACTCGTTTGCGGCGGCTCGCCGCACGTAGCTCGTGTGTAACTGGGTTATTATTTACAACCCGCGGCGCGCTCGCTACTCTTGATTTCTACGATTCTCCGATATCCCTTTCCCACACGCACGCTGGTAATCGACGATTTTACACGAGATAATGCGTGTCGCTTCTTATTACAGTTAAAAACGACAGGTGTTCGCGGCGACGATGATCGATTAACGCGTCTTCACATTTTTGATATCTTCTTTCGAAGTTTGGGCGATGAAATTTATTAATTATAGTGTAGGCACTCGGTCAATAATTCGTACACTACAATATTCAGGCGTTCTTAATTCTTTATTTCTGAGGATCCGTGAGCGACTGTCTTCGCAACGACTCTCTTCGCGACTCTGTCACACGACTGTTTGTTACACGCGATCGTAACAATGTTAACGCGGGAGAAAGAGGCGTGTCAGACCCGACGACGAAAGATAAGCAACTAATACAAAAGAAATGCCTACAATAGAATGATTCATTATTTATCAATTATATAATTGACAAATCTTACTGGAGCTTATATCGAGTTAAAATGATTAAGTAAGAAAAAATATAATAAATTTGTAAGAAATTTAACACGTACAAATATTTGAGAAATTGTCCATTGAGAATAAATATTAAAAATCTTATTGAAATGCGCATCAAGTAAGAATCATGAGCTAAATAAATATGCGATTTAATCTATCCGATGCGCTCGCAGCATCGCGTGCCGCAGAAACGCCTTATGTGCCGCAGAAACGCCTGCACACCATTGCATTTGACGCCACCCAATGGATCGATGTGCACGAACGCTCGGTGATAGATAATACTTTTTCGCACTGATTAGACCTTTTCACTTATCAGTCACAATTAATCCAATTCTGTATTTCCATTCGTGCGGTTAGTAATAGTAATGACCATCGTGCACGAGTGTACTATATAATTACGCGAAGCTTAAGTGCATACCATAAATCAGTTAGAATCGCTGCAAATTAATATGTACCGTACAAAACAAATTTCTATTCCCATTCGTGTTCCAATTGACATTTTTAAACTAACGAATGTATTTTTGTCGTTTTTAGGTTACCACAGCTTGCCGTTTTAGCGAAGATTTTGTGCCTCCTGATGGTGAGTACTTCTCTATAATTATCTCACAATAGTAGAAATTATATTCTGTTTCGTGAATTAATAGAATTTTAAAATAGATATACTTTTTTATATTTATTTCTAATTTTTACTATATTACTGTGACTGCTATTATATAAAAAAAAAACAAGTAGCTACACAACTGCTGTTATAATTAATTAATAAGATAATTATTTAATTCATGGAGATTTCGTTATAAAAATAATCGAAAAGTCGAACGTACGAATACAGAAAATCTAATATTGGCGCATTTATCGCGTTATAATTGATTCGTAATCTTATCTTTAGCCGTGTCTGACATTTGTAGCACGAACCAATTGCATAAAGGTAATCTGATGATCACTCGGCCTAGTTTTGCGGCCAATAATGAACGGCATAAAGTTCGTACGAGAGCTCGTGCCGCAGTTCCGCTGAAGCCACAAAATCGCCTACTCCGTAGGTCGCGAATATATGCAAAGATATACGGCGGGCCGCAGTCGCGAAGGGTGACTAGGTCAGATCTGAGATATCCTCCTGCACGAAGAGGTCGGGACCTGGGAGGATCGCGTGCTGAAACTCGTGCCAAGACTTAAGTAAATCGGCGATTACGTCGGCACGCATCTTACCTGCCATAGATTAATGAACGGCGCTTCCACTCCTACGCGTTTACAACACTGACAATTTATATGGCCGAGGCGGCTCGCTGCCGGCTTTGAACTTAATTCATTGCGGCGCACGTTTAATTCCCCGCTGTGGGCGCCGCAAAGCGCAATAAGTTTTGACATCGCTTGAATTTTTCAGTGCTCGCGACGATGTTCATTGCGGTACCGCTAACTTGCCATCGCGCTTTGATTAACTGCGCACAAGATATATCGAGTTGTTCTTTTTCTTTAGCTTTCTCTATTTCTAACTTTCTTCTGGATGTTACAATATATATTTAAATACATCTTGGCTAATTTTAAATTATTAACAATTAAACTGATTAATCAATTTCAATTAATTAAAAAAAAAAAAATCTGATTAGTGAAAAAAATTGTTAGATCATGCTTATTTCAATCTCTCGTAATATTAAAATGATTTTTGTCATTAATGAAATGTTTTTCACGCTCGAACGTCGCACAATATAAATCATTCAGTGTCGTAAAGATTGGGTAATGGCATTCGTTATTTATACTTTGGAAATTGATGGAGATCTATGCGCGACAATGTGATAAGGACAGTTCACGCGACAGTCATCGCGCGGAGACTCAAATATTTAAATAAGATTTATGTATCCTCGATACTGGTCTTGAGCGGTAGCGTAGTAAGCGATTTGCCGGTCCAATAAATAATTAAATGGATGGTCTCGGTTGAATCGCGTGCGATAAATTTAGACGTTGAAATTACTGCCTGGTGAATCGCGACGAGCGCATTCGCGGCTACCGCCTTGACGATACATCTGCTAAGTGAGAATATAATGAATGGCCAATACATGAAATAGCAAAGCTATTCAGTGACGATTGTCATTATCCGCTCGCTTCTTTACAGGTCTGAAAGTCCTGTCGGTTAAATGATAATGCGAATATCGCGCTAATGTAAGAGCAATTAGCGAGTCGAGTTCTTATCGCGCGGCGCATCAGGACAAGCGCGGTATTGTGATGCAGCTATGCGGAATTTGTCGCGTGATGACACTCGTTGCATCGTAAGAGGTTTTGGCGAGCAAATGCGTGATCGCGACTTTGTACATTGAACGATAGAGAAGCGGAGTTACGCTTTTAGTTTCCGGATTTTAGTAGACGGATGTCACTTTCGTATAAGTATAAGTAGATACAAGCAATTCGAAATATTCAAAGGCCGATGTTACTAGATTACGGAACTGTAATAAAGTCGCGCAATGCGAATTTAATTGCTCTCGGCGAACAATGAACGCGCACGTTCACATATGTTTGTTTATTACACAACAGCGGTATTTCCTTGTATAATAAATCTCAAAGAAATCGTATGAAAAAAAGTATTAATTTGCTCTTTTTGCGCGCAGAACAATTAATTTACAATATTAATATTTAATGTGATACTGCGTTTTTTTTCGACATCGTAATTTAGATGTCTATACGAAATTGAAGAAGAACACGCTCGCATGACATCGATCTTCTAATATCGCCTCTGTTATGCATGCAGATTTATACGTTATTCGAGCCTCATGATTGTTCGATCGCGGCAAGCTTTTTGTTTCGCTGTTCATCGGATTGCACTTACCGTCGTAACTTTGTCGGCGCCACTTTTCATATAAACGAAACGCCAGTTTCGGCGACTATTAATGGATGGCTCGTGTCCGCGCGTTAACGAGGTCTCTGCCATCAGCGTGCACCATCTCCGCCGCGGCCAGCACGACGACTCTCCGTCCTTCTTCGACACGGCGCATTTTTATTCGCGCGTATCCGTCGCGGCGAAGATCCGCACGAGCGGATCAACCAATGACTCGACGTCGTGATATGCGAACTGATCGTAAAAACATTCTTCTCTCGGCGGCGGTGAAAGAATTTCGATGTCCTTAACGACTCCGAGGTTCGGTCGTCGCTCTGAAAACACGATACGCGAATTCTTATCCCGCTCATTCGGTTTTTCTGTTAATCGAGGAATCGGCGAAGGATAATATAAAGCGCAATTCTATTTCTGAACTAACTCCTCTCGCTTGTTTCATGCTTTCTTGATGCTTACTATTTTTCATGCTTTATCGTCCTTCATTTAACGCCACACGTTTTTACACTTGCATATGTATTTCCGTCAGCATTTGAATAATTCATCAAATATCGGAACTACGCGTCTGGTTAAAGTAATGCCACGCCGATCATAAAACGGGCGTCTTGAATGTTCATTCTTTTACAAATCATAAAATATGTGACTGATTTTATTTCGGTATTAAAAGCACTGTGATTCAAAGCATCTGCGATTACTTCATCTCGAAAACGCTTCGATTTGTTATTCTTCGAAGAGTGATTATTTGTGCGTTTTATGAAAACGACTCTGAGGCAATTTTGCGATTAAGGTGATCGAGGAATTTTACAATACACGAGCGGTTTTTATAATTGCAGGTGGTGATGTGCGGGGCGGTGCCGGCGATGGTGCGCTCCGTGAGTCTCTACTCGACTTGCAGCAGCGGCAATGTTACCGTAATAGGCCGCTCGATCAAAGCCATGGAACGCAACGATAACTATGCACCCTACCGTAAGTAAGACCACCATAATCTGTTGCGCCTTTTATTTTTATTATTAATAAAAACGCGATAGGTAAAGAATTTCTTACATTAACAAAAAATGATTCCTATATCTGTAATATTTTATGGTTTTTCTTAAAACATTTTTTTCAAATTTCGCGAAAATGATTGTGAACGTCTTCTTACACCTATTATATTTTTTAAGGTTCTTTATTTTTACAACTCTATTTGATTAAAAATTGAAAATATTGAAAGAAATAACGTAATTAAAAAAAAAAAAAACGATTTATTAAAATAAACTTCTTTCTTTGTGAAGAAAGGAATTATTTTAGTTCTGAAATTTGTTAATATTTAGTATTGAATAATCCTAGCAATTTATCAATTACATTAGTTAATTGATTAGTTGTTAAGCGTGGCAATGCATTTAGGGATATAGTTTTCGATACTAATTACTTGCAAAGCGAAGGAAATTCAGTTATACGCGCGCAGCGATATAGCTATCTGGGATGAAGTAATGAAATCTGTTAATTGAGTCGATTCCAATCACTATCCCAGTTTTTCGCTCCTATCGCTCCGGTCGATAGTTCTAAAAGAGGAATTTTTTGTCTGTAAATGTTGGAGCGCGATGCACTAAAGAACTTAATTTACTGCGATCGATCGACCTCGATTGGGGGCCTTATCTCTCTCGTTTTCGCTCCCGAATGTTTCTATAGCGGGACCTTCCGAAGTGAATCTTTATTTTTACGAACTAATAACTAGAGTTCTATTTCCGTGAGCGTAGCTTCGTCGTCGTCGCGCTGACGTCACGGAAGAAGCGAAAGGAGTAAAAGAGAGCGGCCACCGAAGGAGTCTTGATAAATTACGACGTAATACTGCCTCGTCTCGATTGTTTTCGGCTAGACATAGTTTTATCTCTCGCCGTTTGCTCTATCGTGCGTCGAACTCGCGCTTCTATTCCATCTTTATTTATTGGAATCGCCGTCACGAGGAGAGATTACAAAGAGTTTGGCCTTGCTCCTCTAAAAACTGGAAAGAGACACTCGACAGAAGTGCGTAAGACATTTTACATACGTATGTGCTCGCTTATTTTCCACCTGCATTTTATCTCCTTGACATACATTCATCGTGACAGCGACGTCTGTTTATGGAAAAACACGTACTAACTGCATATCACGACGGTGCATTTACCAGACGTTTGTCAGACATCTCGTATTCACGGTTGATTCTCTTAAGCCGGACAGATCGCTCGCGCAGGATTATGATGAATGATGTCTCTCGTATCCGCCTTGCATAACTCGCTCATCCACGATAATTTGCCGATGACCCTAATGGCGGAGCCGAAACCGAGTCTTCTCTCAGCGCAAAGGCGGACAGCGAGATTTCGTGGCTCGAAGTGACGAATGTAGGACAATTCGCGTGTGTGAATTCGTTTAGCTCGTAGTGCGATATGAATATTCCGTTCTCAAATTTCGCCGGTGCATTTAACACTTCGTAAAAGTGCTGTTAATGCGATAGAAAATTCTACATTAGAACTTAAATTTCGTTGACCTGCATACGGATTCGCCACCGCGCCCGAAGTAACTCTT